TTTGTTCACCTCTCTCTTTTGAATACTTCCATTATTGTAATCATCATTATTTCCACTATCACTGATATCACTGGTACTATTATGATTATATTTATCATTTACGTTGGCTGTAAGAAATCACATAAATCGTTCAAATTTGATGTGATTTTGTACCGTTTTCTTGAAAGAAATTCCAAAATGTCCTAAATTGTATAAAGTCAGCAATACAATAATTCTCAAAAGTGGCTAACGATTTTGAATTTGATGAAATAATCTCGATGTTACCAATGACTATCCTCATTTTTAAATGACAAATTCACATATGATGTTAATCGTTCTTGCTTTGTTCAAATATCACCACCATCAAATAGTTCTTTACAGAACTGAACTCTGTTCCCGATGTACGGGATACACCGGAACGGATTCCATCCATACTTATTTTGTCCGATTTGAAAGAAATCAATTTAATGAATGAATCTTTTATTATTAATATTATCATTATGATTATTATTATTGTCATTATTATTATTATTATTCTCATTGTGTTATTCTTGTTCTTATCTGAAAATATTTGTTCATAAATTCACCGGGAAAACTTCTATTTGGCTTAGTGTTTAAGGAAAAAAGTTCCCGTAAGTCATCTTTATCAATGTGCCCATACAGATGTGAATAAATTAATGAATTTGTATTTTGGTCTTTCCTGCTAGCATTACTACCATTATTATTCTCATTATTATCATTGCCGTTATTATTATTGCTATCATTATTATTATTACTGTTATTATTATTATCAATTATTTTATTAGTATTAGCAAATTCATTTTTATTAGTATTAATCTTTATTATTTATTGTTATTTTCATTTTTATTAGCGCAATTAATATTTCGCAGAACTATTCTTGATATGAAACGGAAAACTTATAATAAGTACCTGCGTACGTACCTAACAACTTGTCACTTTCTATCTTTCAATCAACTGTTTTCTATTTAATTTTTCCTATCCGTTCAACGACAATGAATGAAAAAATGAATTCAACAGAATCAACGAACCAGTCGAACAAGTTTTCAATTCACGAAGGTCTTATTTCATACCCATGAGGTGTTCTCTTAATAAGTTTTGCATGAAAAGTTCCACTGAATGATAACAGCAATAATTATAAAAATAATAATAGCAATAATTCTAGCAAATAACAGCAACGAATGAATAACGATAACAATTCAGTGCAACTTGTTTCAGCTCATAATATCATTCATCTATCAAAATTTGCGTATTCATATTATGATGTTTTCAGTGCAGTCATTACACAACAATTAAAATTTTAAATTCTTTCTGAACTTCATCCTTTCATTATGGTTTCTTCAGTCTTTTAAAATTGTCTCATCTATCCAATAAATTAATTTCTCTTCTTCTTTTTCGTTTATAATATATACATTGTTAACGTTATACTTAATAATAATAATAATTATTATTATTATCATTATTATTATTAGCATTGTTAATACAACTATTGCTATTTTTAACATACGTTTTTATGGCAAATGTTCTTGAAAATGAATAATTGAGATCATCAGCGAGCGGGTCAATGTTCAATACTGATTTCCAATAATGAAAGGAGATGCTAGCAAAAACAGAATTATCTCTTCTGTAGATATTTTTATTGGATGGATATATAAACGGTTTGGTGTGGCATGTTGAATGAGTAATCATTGTTCGAATAGTTTGTGTGTGGCCTTAGTGAGTTCGAATGCGATGAATGAGCTTACGTTGAACATTCCAAGTTTCGATGCACCGTTCCAGTAAATCACTTGTTTTTTAAAACGGGTTAATCTTCCATCTGCGGATGAATCTCAAGATGTAAGTTCTGGTGATGATGAGGAAATAAAAACTCGCTGTAGTCAGAGTCCGACAGAATCCATTTTTGCATCCTTGAACTTCGGTAACTAACAAAAAATTGAAAATTTATTCATAATTTACCCACTAAGGTCCAACACATTGAAAGCAGTACTCACTGCATTATTCATTAATGCGATGATAAAACTCATTACTTGTCAAGAAAGATAAAACTGGGTTAATCAAGAAAAACTTTTTGCTTCAATGTATCTAATTATTGTACCGCGACCATCACTTTTTCTCATCGATATATGAATGCTTTCACTCACATCAGTCCATTCACCTTTTCTAAACATTCCATAGTTTCTAATTGCCACACTGAACTGATATCTATCAGATGAATGATGGGCATAGTGAATAGAGGAACAGCAATAATAGTGACGATAATGATAGCAGTAATGAATAATAGCAATAATCATACTTGTGATTAGAGTCATCCTTACTTTATCATTCAACTGAATCTGCTCCAGTTGTTGTACTTATTTCATTGGGAAATCATAAGCATTATAATGATGTGTTCACTTATTTTATTGTTGAATTGTTCGTTTTACAGGTACTACCCACTGTTATAATTCCGATCATTACCGTTGTCGTAATCACCAGAAATATTTTTCTTCATCATTCGTTCTCTTTCGGTTACATTGATACTGATAAGAGTGATAAGTGTAGTAACATTATTAATATAAGTTTTGTTGTTTTACACAGGCTGTTTAGACTAGACGTGTACGCACACACACGCAACGATGAGAATTATGTTCTATGTTCTACTCATCGCTTTATTCACACTTACTTATGGCCTTGAGATAACGAACATTTTTAAATACATTCTTGAACATCCGAAAGAATGTAAGTTACTTTCTTTTTATTTATAAATCTTGATTCCTTTTCACCATTCTAAACACTCACCTTCACCTAATAACTCATTAAGATCCATAATCACAAAACTATCCCCAGCAGTAACTTTGAACTCAGAATTCAAACGATGCAATCAGCAAAGTATTGCTAATATATGTACAACTGATAATACCTCATCAAACATGATCATACCTGCGACTGTAAATTACTATCTTTC